GACTTGTTACACTTAATCTTTGCACATTTGATTGTAGGAGTTGTTTAAAGCTTTGTAGTGAGGATGCCCCAACTGTGCCTGGTGGCAACGAGTTCCAGTGTACGATAGTTCTGGGGAAATACGAGTTTTTGAATACCTCAATTCTTGGTTGATATTTGAAGGCATGACTGTAGCTGCGGGTGTCCATACGAAACGATTGCTCATTATCTTAGCATTTAGAAAGGATGTTTTGAGAAAAGAACTGCTAAGTATTTACAAGGTACACAGAAAAGCATGGCGCTTTTCTTCTTTGATAATGTTTTGGGTAGGTTTTCGATAGTATTTCATCACGTTTTTAAAAAGTTCCGTAACGTATTTTTTTATTCATCAAAACATAACAAGGACAGTGTGACGCTGCACTCAAGTCATAACTTATATTAACAGCGCCACACGAGAAAAAAAAGTACAATTAACATTTAAATACACAAGGTTGACAAATCTGTGCGCCGTAGTCCCACCACCCCAAGACATTAAAAATGCTAATGCTAACAAAATTATTTGAAAAATAAGATTGAGTGTTAACCTCCTATATCTCATTGGCGGAAACACGTCGTATTTACGCGACATTTCCGATTCTGTATTTATGAATATACGATAGTCGTCTTTGATATTTTTGATATTTGCTTCCTGCCACAGGGTGTTGACGTCATAGCCAGCAAAGTGCGTCATCCGGCCGTCTCCATGGCTACCTAGATAAAAGCAAAAAGTGTCAAAGAGGTTGCACGAAGGATGGTGTTGTTGACTTTTTCAGCTGCTTCAGTTCCTTTTAGAACTTTCTTGCGCATGGAGTGTTACGTTATTCATGTCTGCTGGGAAGATAAGATGATAATGCTGGTATATAAGTTCACTTTCCGGTTAGCCCCTGTCCTGCTGGACGCTTTTACACAATATGTTCATGACAAGTAATTTGAAGTCATAATCAGGTCACAGACCCTTGACTTTTTTTGCCATGCGGTGGCGTAGTTACTCGTGCATTTGTTTCGCTGCGGTGTGATGCATTGCACGCAAAACACACCCAAATCGTACATATACAGGGCACTGTATAGATGGAACTGTATGTGCAACCCATACATGTATATATGGGTCCCGCAGGACAAGGGATTTATTAATACAATCGTTGTCAAGACAAAAAAAAATTGTTCGAATCCCGGCTGTTGTCGCTCACCCTACATGCACGCTACTGGAAAGGGTTGCAGTCCTTAGGACGGGACGTTAAGCTGTGGTCCACTGTTCATTGTGCTCGTCGAAAGGTGCTGGGGGAATTTCTCTGGTACAATGAACCTGTAAATACTCTGCATAGTGTCTGTCTTCTCTGTCACAAGCAGTGGGAGATTAGCTCTTCAGTGAGCTAAAACTGGATCGAGATCACTTTTTTCTAACCGTTGTCAGTTTTAAAAGAAATGGTCTTAAAAGAAAAGAACAAATCATCGTAAGAACCTGAGCGAAGTGAGGAAAGTCGTGTAAAGCGCCTTTCGCAAGGGTACAAGATCGGTGGCATGTCAGGACTCAAACCCTGGACCTCTTGGTTCCGAGTCGAGCACTCTGCCGCTACGCCACACGACCCCACCCAATTGATATGTTTGTCAATGCCTTTTGGCTTCGACTACATTGACGTAACTATGAACGTTATTATGAAGTCAGTGTCCAATAAGCTGATTTGTTGGTTATTAAGAGCGCAGAGTGCGTCATTCCTTTTTATCTTCTTTCTTTCCATTACGGCGTTGGCAGCATTTCAAAACTCTCGTCAGTGGAATAAAAAGTTAATCATCTTGAAGGTATCTAGTTCTTACTCCTAAATTTAACTCCTAACAGTTAATAACTATGGTTTGATAAAGTCTCTGAAAAAAGTAGTCGTGTTAGACATACAGCATCTGTTGACTTTCATACAGCATCCATTGCTTTCAAAAATGACTGTGTGAGAGTAGATGTATTTCTTCACTATTTGCACTTATAATGGGGAATCCAGTACTTGTACATCAGCAACAAATATCTGAGGGCAGGTTCAGGAGATGTGACTGATTATTCAAACATGTCGGTAATCATTTATGATTGCTTATCCTTGATATCAAAGGCATTCAAACTCGTCTTTACTCTCTTTGCAAAAATCTCATGAAAGTTCCTTTGTAATCTGGTTTGATATGACTTTGATCTGTACCGTCACGTATCTAACGAAATGAAAACATAAGGATACAAGACTTTGAAGGTTTCAAGCGTAGGAGTCCGTACAACCCTTTGAATGAAAACGGTTGCCTTTCAGATTGTTTCTACGTACCTAGTTCAAACATGGTGCCAAGAGGCAAGGCTCGCACGCGTGCACTAGCCCAGTGACGTCAGTTGAAGAACAATCATTTGGACATAATAAAACACAACTTAAGAGGGATCCAAGAAAGAGTTGCTCTGTCTCTGTACAGCCGGTATAACAGCCCTTCGGCGTAACACACCAGCTTCTGTATCTGTATAGCCGGTATAACCGCCTTTAGGCGTAACACACCAGCTTCTGTATCTGTATAGCCGGTATAACCGCCTTTAGGCGTAACACACCAGCTTCTGTATCTGTATAGCCGGTATAACCGCCCTTCGGCGTAACACACCAGCTTCTGTATCTGTATAGCCGGTATAACAGCCTTTAGGCGTAACACACCAGCTTCTGTATCTGTATAGCCGGTATAACAGCCTTTAGGCGTATACGTAATACACCAGCTTCAGAGGCAAACATCGCGGCGGTAGCTGGCTACATTACACCGAACGACTTGTTACATCTGACATTTGAACATCTAACTCTAAACATTGTTTAAAGCTATCTAACTATAATGTCCCTACTGTACCCGGTGACAGCGAGTTTCACTCTACTACAGTTCTAGGAAAAAGGTTTTGTACCTTAATCCTTGTTGACCGTGCTAAATCCTTTAGCATCTCACCAGATTCTTTTCGCTGTCCGACAATCCATCTCGGTGTATCCAAGGGTCGGACGGACCTTACCAAGCTACAGTCATTACCATTCCATTTACAGTGACGTTTTCAGTCCGCCTGGCCATTCGTAGGGGTGAACCTAAGGGTCACTCACCGAGATCAAACCATTAGGATCTCTCTCGCAAAGAGGTTCTTCGGTCGCATGACGTCTAACACCACAATGCAGATAATGAAGTAAAAGCGCGGGCGTAGTTTAGAGTATCATCTTCGATATTGGAAGAAAAGTAAGTGTGGCTGACGCCACTTTTAATGCAGTAGCGTGTGTAGTCCAGTGGTTAGTGACCCTGCCTGTGGACCTACAGGTTAAAAGTTTGAATCCCGGCTGTTGTCGCACACCTGACATACACGCCACTGGAAAGGGTTACAGTCCTAATAGGACGGGACGTTAAACTGTGGTTAACTGTTCATGGTGATTGTCGAAAAGAGCTAGGGGAATTTACCTGGTACATTGAACTATAAATACTGTACATATCGTCTCCTCTGTCACGACCAGAGGAAGATAGGTTAGCTAGAAGGAAAACATATTGTTACCTTCGCCAAGAAGGTTATGTTTTCGTAGGCGTTCGTGTGTCTGTGTGTGTGTGTGTGTGTGTGTGTGTGTGTGTGTGTGTGTGTGTCAGCACGATAACTCAAGAAGGCTAAAATGGATTGTCTTGATATTTGGTAGGTGGATAGGTCTTCATGAGACGTGGAACTGATTAAATTTTGGGCCCCCTAGCGGCTTGTTATGGTACTGCAGCTGAACTTCCGGTTTTGATATCTCGTGATCTAGACATGCTAGGGTGACGAAATTTGGATGGTAGGTAGCTCTTGTGCTGGGGAAGAAGTCATGTGAGTTTGGTCTCCCTAGCGGCTTGCTCTGGAACTGCAGGAGCGTTAGTCGAAAAATGTTTAAAGGCGGATAACTCTAGAACCGATTGATGGATCGTCGTGATTTTTGGCATGTAGGTAGCTGAAGTGGTGCTTAACACAATAATATTATAATTATGCATATATTAATATAATTTGCATAATTAATGAGGAAATTCTATAAATCAGCTGCATTCCATGATAGGACTATTCAAGCTTGTGACATATGTAATTAAGAACGGCAGAAATACAGGCAGATATCGATTATGCAAATGAAGACTTAATTTGCATAATTAATGAGAAAATGTTATATTTACATAGTGGTAACTGCCTGGAATTTCATACTTGGGATATTTGAAAGTTATGTGAAGGTGAACATAATTAAACAGAACTTATTCAAATAGGGACCTCATTTGCATAATTTATGAGGAAATGCTATAATGGCATTCTTTGATAAGATAAGACTGTCTTCTGGTATAGAATATGATCAACAGATATAATTGATGCAAATATAGGATCCTATTTGCACAATCAGGGGGATTAATCTATAATTTCTTACTCATAAAGGCTAACATCATTTGGCGAAGGTATGAGATCGTGGAACTCTAGTTTCTTCTTCTTCTCCAAGTCAATGACCTGGACCAGACGTCTGTCACCATAGTAACTGGTACTGTAGGAGTGTTGGGTTACATTTTGTAGCAGGACAGAGTTGGAGGGTCTGCTCAACATGTGAATGGCGAATGTGTTTGAGTAAGAATAAACAGAGCAGTTGGGATAGACAAAGTGATGGTAAAACAGCATGTATTTGCTTTGCAAATGTTACTTTCCTAGTTATGTTTACCGAAGGAAAACATATTGTTTTTCCTCCATTTCTTCTTCTTCTGTTCCAAACACTAACCTCTGACCTGGCCAATGGCCTCTTTTGTTGACGTCTGTCACCATAGTAACTGGTGTTGGTTTACATAATGTTGCAATCTCATAGTAGGCATTTAGACTCCTGTCACCATATACATGTATGTGAATGTGTTTGTCAATGAGTACGAATTAACAAAGCAGACCATATCCGAAGGTAAACATTATGCATTTCCTTTGCAAATGTTACTTTTCTAGCTAAATGTTGTTTTATATTTTTTCCCCCACAGATGACCAGACTGGATACCATGTGGACAGATTGGCGTTCCCAGCAGGCAGAAGACCGGAAGTCGCCCACCACGTGACCAGGAAACGGTCCGGACTGGCCTACTACTGCTGCGAGAGGGGGTGTTCTCACGACGACGTCGCCTCCATCTGCTAATAACAACCCTGCAATAATAGAACTAACATACAGGACTCGTGGGGCGGAAGAAGAACTCAATCGACAAGCAAAAAAACGGACAATGGAGAAAAGAAATAAGTGGGATATGAACGGAGAAACCGACCTCATGCATGATCGATACTTTAACGGACAAGATTGATTAATTGATTGATTGATTGATTGATCAGCTGTTTTTGCAATAGGTTGCCATAGAAACTGTGACCAGAATTGATTTATTGATAGTATAAGATGATAGTTTGGAAAAAGCACAGGAAAACAGAGGTATCGTAATAAAAATGTTTATTTTATCCCCTTTCTATTGTTGACCATTTCACTATAAATAAAGGCAATAATAATTATAACAATCAATAAATGTAGTGATTATCTATCCCTTACACTATTGCAGTAGTACACCACTGGACGAATTGACGCTAAATTTTACCTATTAAGACCTAGGATTCTTATTTTAAGATTTCTAGCCAAGAAAAACTTGGTCGTTTAAAGGAGTACTAACCTCCAGAAGGAAGTGCTATTTTCCGATACATCATGCTGCAATGAATACATAACTAGCCGACTTTTTACATAATTTCGCTTGTACGACTTGCGCGGCGCATGTTTGTAAAGTGATATTCATTTCATTAATATGATTTTCCCCCATGCTGAACCACAATTGATACATCCGGGAACTCTGGCTTACGCAATACCCATACACTTCAGGTCAACATACACATTTTTTGGCGAAAATGGTAGGAGACAAGCACATTAACAAGCTGATTATTGAGAAATTACTTGTCTTACTTTGCTTGACCTGTGGCTTGGATATTATAATATCAGGATGTCGAATACAGTTGGCGCCAGTTTCATCCTGCGTGTTTTGATTTTCTCAACTTATTTGCATGTAAGTATTACTTGAACAGATAATTAGATTAGTCTACGCCACTTTTGAAAAAGATAACTAGATTACGCCGTTTTTTTAATCGTCAATATTTGCGGCATAAATGAGGGGCGATAAGGACACCAAGAAGGGCAATGGTTGGTAAGATACAAAAGAACACAAAGTGGTACGAATTTTTCTTATCGCCCCCGAAATGAGGTCTGTAACGTAACTTTTTGTTTAAAACATAGACACCAATGGGGTAGCGTGGTGTATTCTGGGATAGTTTTGAGGGTATTTGGAGAGTTTGTCCTGGATTCGATGCGTTTTGAGACTTGCGCACAAAATGGGCATTTAATTGTATACTGTAAAATAATATGCATTTTTCACTTCCAAAAATAAATGCCTGTCGAAATATAACACCTCCTTCTGGAGGTTAGTACTCCTTTAATAAAAATTGGTAATTACAAATTAAAGAGTTGTCAGCACAATACTGAAACTGTTTTATTCACATTGATTGGCAGCCAATATGCATTGCTTGGCTGAATTGCTCAAGTGATTACATGCTAAAATAGCTTGAAAAGAGATACACATTAAAAAGCACAACATTGACGATTAAAATTAAATAGATTTAAAATTCTGTAGGTCAGGTCCATTAAAACAGAGGCGGATTACTATTTACAAGTCTTGGTTACTGAGGCTTATTGCCTGAAACAGGAAAGATTTTCTCAGTCTTTCAGTTCTGAACTTCGGTGCGCCATGATTACATCAACTGCCATTGTAAAATCGGTAACATTGTGATTCGTTGATAGTCTTCAGACGATCTGGCAACGTCCCCAGGTAACAGCTTATAATTCTCAGCGTGTGTATTAAAAACGGCTGCAGCTGCGCTGGAACTCATGTCTTACATGAAGATAAACAATCCATAATGTAAGAGGTACAAGATACAGACTCGGTGTCTCCAGTACCATATCATCCCCTCAGCCTGATGAATAACAAAGATGTCGACGCCACGATGAAGAGTGGACCAGACGTGTGGAAAGAATGTATTATCGTGGCTGCAGCGTCATTTTCCTTCTGCAATCTTTGTCCGATAATCTTCCTCACGCCACAACTAAATAACAAACATCCGGCGCACCACACTGTAGTCGGCGCCGTACTGTCAAGGTCTTTCTTGATCACCAGATTGTTGCTGACTTTAAAATCACCACCAGAGGTTTAAGCTCATTTTTTTGCCAGCAAATCTAGTTTGTTGCATTGGACAGGATTAGTGACCTGTGAACATCAGCCAAACTTTAGTTATAAACCGGTCCGGATCGAACACATCGAACCCCCTGTCCTATATACACCGTTCCGTATCGAACACACCGAACCCCCCGTTCTATACACCGTTCCGGGTAGAACACGTCGAACCCCTTGTTCTATTTCGAACACATCGAACCCCCCTGTCCTATTTTGAACACATCTATCGAACCCCCTGTTCTATTTCGAACACATCGAACCCCCCTGTCTTATTTCGAACACATCGAAGCCCCTGTTCTGTTTCGAACACCTCCGTCAAAATCAGCGCGGGAAATCTAAACGCTGCAAAGTGAGTCTACTTGATAAATACGCAGTGATTAAGAGGACATCCGCCTTGTTGAAGTGAGAATTGAGAAAGTGTTATCTTCGTTATAAAGATATCCATCAAATGAAAATTACATATTTGACTAGGTCAAGAAAACCTGGCTACAGGTTTTTCAATTTCCGAAAGTTATTAACGTGTCTGTGACACCAATGACACCAATATACGAGTACATCACTTCATGATTATATTTAACCATAATAAGTGTTATTTAATGAACATATACATCCAGTCGTTATAAGATATACACCCTTCTGATTGTATTGAACATCTAACATAACAAATCATATGACCATATATTTTACTGCCACTAGATAACACGCTTTGGGAGCTGGCTTGCAAAAAATCAACTTTTTTTTTAAGTAAACACGTTGTAGCTATTGTTATTAGATACGGTTGCTTTTGATGAAAAAAATATTTTGCTTTTTTGCCCCTCAAAAGAGTAGCAGATGGGCGAATGTATGTTTTGTACAAACGGCTATGTTCAATGATACTTATTATGGTTGAAGGCAATCAGGGAATGTGGTTTAATGGTGTCATTGGTGTCACGAGCAATTTCGAAGAAACGTCACGTAAAAGTGAATACAAAAAAGATTGCAAGATTTCTAAGTTCTAAGAGTTATTTCTATCTATTAATCTAAATCGAGTGTATTATACCACGATTTGATACTACAAGATTTAATGCAGTTAGATTCAGTACCAGGGGAATGATTTGAACAAACTATATTCTTAGAAATGATACACAATGTAAACCATATTCAAACTTGAAAAGCATTAATTCAAAGTAGAATATTAAGATTCTTCCCACGTCCACAGCTTTAGCTAGAGCCGGTCCACGTTGGGTTTGAAGAAGCCCAGATGTGTACGCTAAATACGCTATAGGGTATAAAGAAATGTAATCATTTGTCGAGTGCCAAAGGCCGTTAGAACTCCAGATATACCAAGGACGGCAATATAGATTATCAATAATGATAACTTCAGGATACTGAGTATCAGGAACAAAGGAGAATAATATACGGAAGATCGCACGGATGCTATATATACTTTAAATAGCTCGGATGACATATAAGTATTCTATGTTACCTGTGATGACTTATTTAACGGTGTTCATTGCAAGCAAAAATTGATTGTAAATTCTGTCCCAAACTCAATGTGTTAAACTCCAAAGTTCCCCTGCACAATCAGTACACCAATCTACGTAAACGTGGACAAGTTAGTCTTCACTTAAGCGTTTATCTAATTTTCCTACATCCATGAAACGTAATTATCTAGGTATCAGGAATTTAGCCGTATTTTGCAGACGTTACATTTCGGTAAGGTGAGATTGGGCTCCAAATGAAGCATTGTGCACCTAGCAATCGTTATATCATGTTACGATTACAGATTGTGGACACCACTAAACTGTTTGCATGTTGAATATGTAATCTTATTCATGTAATCAGGTTGCAATTCGTCTCCTTGTTAAGTAAAGCCCCTTGACGTGCGAGATTTGTGAATGAAGTTACGCAGAAGTTGTGACTTAAAGAACTCAAAGATTCTATCACCATGAATTAGAATTGACCATACGGACATTTATCATATTTGCAATGTATGAGGATAATTAATAAATTATGTTTTATTATGACACCTGATTGACGATTGTACCATCAATAGACACGATTAGAAGTTTTAATTTATTACTTCAGAATAAAGATCTAAAATTATGATGAATTCATTTCTAGCCTTTTTTTATGTTACAGCTGTGATATGAAATATCATTCATTTTTTGCATGTACAGAGCATGGCTAGAATAATCGGCCATTTCACCGCTACCTTCACATTGAAGATTTTGTTATAGTTCTCTTGCCCACACGTTGGTGTGTTACGCCGAAGGGCAGTTATACCGGCTATACAGATACAGACACACCAAACTTTATTTGATTTATGATCATGAAAATCCATCGACGGAAAAGTTTCTTTTTCTTAAAATCTCCTCGTTACGAAAAGCGATACCTGTACGAAACCAGCTCCGTAGAAATCTGGGGACGTTCGTAGCCCCGAGGACTGCCTTAGCATTTAATTTCCGGCCGCGCGTGCCTCGAGCAACCGGATCGACAAGATGCAGCCTATCTTCAGCAGAATCGACCACGAGCTTTGCAATCTATGCCACTGGCACAAAAACCTATTATAGAAAACGCGTGGTCCCTCGTTGCCCTTCTAAAGATTCATATTGAAAAGCATATTTGCAGTGCAGATGGTGTCCGCAGATGCTGGAGTGTTTTTGTGATAGCGATTTAGACTCATTGTAGCCTCTTTTCTCTTAGACACCCTCTGTGCCAGGGGTGATAGTTGGCAAAAGGTCGGGTCAAAAATGCAGTCAACCGTAAACTCGCGGTGTAAGGCAATGTGATGAATTTTCCGGCTTGTGTTTTTTCATGGCGGTTAGCCCCACCCCATGTGTCAGCACTTTCTCAGAGTAATAAAACTACTTTGTAGCAAGACTATGAACCTGTCAAGAAGGTCATGTCATATTAATGTAGAGTTCGCTGTCCATGAACTGTCTTTCGTTCTACCTGAACATAGAAACATAATATCTAATCTCAGCTCCATAATATAACTTACCATGTACCAATGTATCAGTAGTTTCCATGACATATTCGTGCTACAAAACATGTTTCGTCGGATTAAATAGTAGCTTATAAACGTGATGACTACTTGGTAGGTTGGTTGGTTTGGTGCAATGATTATTTCAGAACAATAACATTTATGATCTGTTATGAGTTCACTTTGTTCACCATTATTGTATAAAGCCTACCTTTAATTGTGTTCATATTTTGTTTGGATTCTGTTATCTGTACCTTTGATTCTCTTTTGTTTATGGATTATTTATACTCAAACGGTGTCGTATAACCCCACACAGGCTGGGCGCGGGAAAGCGCACGACACGAAAATAAAGTTTCATTCATTTATTCATAACAACACTATTCGCTCTAAAAATCTTGTGCACATGGATTATATTATACCATATTATATGCGTTTTGCTTTTCTTTGTTCTTTTTCATTATTTTTGGTGGGATGTTATAAATGTAATGTACATGTCGACCAGTCATTAAACGGATTTAATGGGTTTGTTCTCAAGATCTAACAACGTATCATAAATTTACAGATGGCAACGACAGAACATTGATTCGTAACGCCACCTTGCCGTGCTTTGTATAAATGCAGAGTAGATCTTGGAAAAAAGCTTGGATCGTCCTAGTACTATTCTTGCCGTTCAGTGATTTTTTATTCATTGAAATTGCAACAGTGCAATACACGCGGAACAGAGGCAGCTGTTGTTGGTGTTTTGTCCCGCAAATAGAAACGAATACTGGACAGACAATACTCATTTTCACTTGAGTCTAGTGGGGAAAGTCGTGTAAAGTGCCTTTCCCAAGGGCACGCCCGGTGTCCTGATGACATGCCCGGTGGCATGATGCAAGTCCTGATGACATGCCCGGTGGCATGTCATCAGGACTCGAACCCGGGACCTCTTGATTCCGAGTCGCGCACGCTACCGTTGCGCCACATGACCCCACTGTGAGTGGGTTGGGATATAATAGACTGGTAATAAAGCAAACATGCACGCCTTGAGTTTGTATAAAAGGCCAAGGAATGTTTAGAGTTGGCCTGGGTCATGTGGAGGGCTTAGATCATGTGATTGTGTGGATAATACACAGCGTGCCAAGAGGGAACATCGTGCTTTTAAGTAGTCATATGATTTTTTTTAAATATAAATCTGTGTGTGTGTGTGTGTGTGTGTGTGTGTGTGTGTGTGTGTGTGTGTGTGTGTACCTGTGTGTGTGTGCGTGTGTGTACATGTGTGTGCGTGTAGGTGTGTGTGTGTGCGTGTGTCTACGTATGCATTATAGTACATATGTATGTACCCATATTAATTATGTCTTTTGTATTCGTTTCCTGAGTGCATGATAACCGTACGTATATAGAGAGAAACGGTCCACATATTTCCTACAACACGCTACAAAATTGTCTCATATGGGTACCACACCATGTCCCGTTCTAAAATGCACATGAATGTAACATGTACGTCAATGTGAAATACAAGATATGCATGGGCCGTCTGTACCCCTTTCGTTACACAATGGAACTTCAGGTAGCCCTGGTTATACAATAAACACAGTATACAAAGACACAACACAAAGTTAATTTTGGCATTGAGGCATTGGGATTGAAACATAACGCCAACGAATGATTTTGTTGCAACCATTCGCATGAACGCAGCTGCAGTATCCTAACCTACTAGAACTGCGTATCTATACCGTGTAAACTGCATTGTTCACGTTGGTTTACCTCCGGGTATGTTACCAATTGAAAAGACGTAAAACCCCGCGCGTATCAAGAATGTGTTTTTCAAAGGAACACGACTATAAAGTCGCTTTGGGACTGAGAAACTCCGGTCACTATTTTGCGGGAGTCTACGAAGAAAGACCTAATCTCCAAGCAGATCTTTCGGTGGCAGTAAAGACGACAGTATCAAATTGGCAAGACAGTACTGTATCAAACAGCAGTATCCATCGGTCCGTTATGTTGAAGATAGCGGTACTTGTGTCCGTGTTGGTTCTATGCGCCGGAGGACCGCTGCGAAAACAACAGAGCGATCCCGCAGAAGAGCTTCGTTCCCTCGAGGAAATTCTCCGGAAGGTAAGTCTACCAGTGAGACTAACTACGCAGGCTATATATAGGAGAGTTTGGCCGGCCGCCTTGGGATTTGACTAGCTGCCGGAAGGAAAGAAACAACATTTCGCGGACTGACTCGCCTAGAGAACTTAACTCTCCTGTTTGCCAAATGCTACGATCCGTATTCCCGTAGAAGAAAATATAATCACAAGATAGTAAACTGTATACTAACTAGAGCTAGTACCGAGAGAGAGGGAGTACTAGTATATCAAATTACAGTTTATTTGCAAACCAGTGTTAGAGGGCAAGGGGAGAAGTAAACCCTACTTATGGTAAACTCTTCTTTCCGTTCTATCTGCAGCTGTTGACAGAGAAAAGGGAAAACTCAGGTGGGGAGTCTGTGGAGACTGAAACCTCTACAGAACAAGAGGAGACTGTAGACCTCGAGGGAAAGGAAGAGCAAGTGGAAAAGACGGAAGAAGAGAAAGGAGAAGAGGTGGGGAAGGGAGAGGACTTCGGGGGGAACGTGGGAGAGAATGAAGGAGAGCAAGAAGAGGCAGAGAATAAAGGAGGGCAAGAAAAGAAAGACGGGAACAAGGGAGAGATTAAAGGAGAGCAAGACAAAGAGGAGGAAGGGAAAGTGGGAGAGAATAAAGGAGAGCAAGAAGGGAAAGTGGGAGAGAATGAAGGAGAGCAAGGGAAAGAGGGAGAGAATAAAGGAGGAGAGCAAGAAGAAGAGACAGAAGGGAAAGGAGAAGAGGTGGGGAAGGGAGAGGACTCCGAAGGGAACGTGGGGGAGAATGATGGAGAGAAAGAGAAAGAAGGGAAAGAGGGAGAGCAAGAAGAGGCACAGAATAAAGGGGGGCAAGAAAAGAAAGACGGGAACAAGATAGAGATTAAAGGAGAGCAAGACAAAGAGGAAGAAGGGAAAGAGGAAGAGAATAAAGGAGGAGAGCAAGAAGAAAAGACAGAAGAGAAAGGAGAGGAGGGGAAGGAAGAGAGAGAAGACTCCGAAGGGAAAGAGGTAGAAAATGAAGAAGAGAAAGAAGGGAAAGTGGGAGAGAATAAAGGAGAGCAAGAAGAGAAAGAAGGGAAAGAGGGAGAGAATGAAGGAAAACAAGAGACAGACGAAGAGGAAGGAGAGGAGGAGAAGAGAGAAGACTCCGAAGGGAAAGAGGGTGGAGGGAATGAAAGAGAAAAACAAGAAGAGATAGGAGAGCAAGAAGAAGGGAAAGAAGGGAAAGGGGGAGAGCAAGAAGAAGGAAAAGAAGGGAAAGAGGGATCCGGAGAGAATGAAGGAGGAGACAAAGAAGAGGGCAAGACAGAAGAAGAGAAAGGAGAGGAGGAGGAAAATGGAGGAGGCGACAAGTCCCGCACTAAGTCTGAGTCAACGAAACTCAGGACTGAGCTGAAGGCCATGTTGGCGGGAATCCGCCTGATCTTGGGTCAAGAGGTTGATATCTCCGGCCAATGAGGTACCTGTATCACATCACGTGACACTTTTCTGAATTCTGTAAAACTACTGTAATAGTTTACTTCACTCTGTTAGCAAAATGCTTAACAGAGTGATTTAAAGCACCAGTTCTGTAAGAGCATTGAAATGTATGTTTATACATTTACTGTATAAAGATGGGTCTTACAACTGTTTTCTTCCACAGGCCAGAACAGGAGAAATGTGTTTCTAGGACTTGAAGACAACTTAAAAACCACCACCAAGGAGAAAACATCACCAATAAGGCAATATTTTGTGTATTAGAATAGAAGGAAAGAGAGAAATCTATGAGGAGCAATATTGTCGAAAGTATCACAGCTTAGCTATTGGCATACAATTTATATTACACGGCGAGTACATTATACTTACTCTGAAAATTCACAGGCTCTATTGGCCTTTGTGCTTAAGCTTGTATACATTCATAATACATTACTGTATGTTTATTTGTTCAATAAACATGCTTACATTGCTGGCATTTATGGCGTTTGCTTACTTACTAGTTATAGTTGAAAATAAGGCTATTTATTTTCCCTGGACGAATGTTGGAAAAGAAAAGATTATGAGTTTGAAAGGAATTTAAAAATAAAGGGATTTGCCAACAAACTTGTGACAATTTGTAATTCTTCATCCAGAAAAAAAATAAAAGCATGACTTCAATCAATGAATGGGTATTTACGTGCACTGTTTTTCAAGCATCTGGTGTAAGTCCATTTGGAACGTTGCTTTATTCTTTACTACCCGTATTTCAACACAATCTTTTGACCAGAAATGTTCTGTGACAATGACGCATGGTCTGTCTGCCGTGACTGGGTTGAAATGTATCCTTTATGTAACACAGAAGAGCAAATACAGCCGTCACAGGCTAGCGCCCCACTGAAGTAAGTTTTCAGTGATCCGTTTTGGGCCACCCTGAGTCAACTGTTATTCATTTTTACTGCCATCTTTTGTGCTTTTATTAAAACATTTGCACAAAACCACTCTTGGTATTGCTTCTACCAAGTTGGAGAATGACAATCTATAGCCATGTTGACAGTTCATACATAAGTAACTAAAGTTCATTGTCTGAGTCTAGTTACTAGTGTCAAGCAACTGATTTTCAAAATCTCTCCAGTTGCTATAGTAACAATTCCCATCTCATTACCTGGATGTCTAACCTTCATCCACTAAGTACATGTACATGCCTCTATTCTAGCAATGGAGGCGCCACATGTTATAACTTCTGTTTTGTTTATTTTCTAAAAAAATGTTCAGGAACATCAGAAGCTAAGGCACAGGCGTGTTTGCCCTTCTTAGAGCCAGATATCCTGTCACAATGTCTGATGGCAGCATTCGTATCCTGGAGAATTCATCCGTGTTGGCGTATCTTATCTTGGTGTGGGGGTCTGTGTACGAGGCCTATGGAGAAAAGACATGTAGATTCTGTTCTATTTAGGTTATCCTCGTCAGAGGAAACGCATCATATCATGTATTACAAAACATATTCAAATATGTGAGAACCTCTCCAACTATGGCTTATATAAGGTCTCCCGTGCTCTATGCAGAGCATGGGGTCTGGTGCCCATGTCCATTTCCGTAGCCCTTGGGCGACACACGGTTGTGCAATGCACTACAGCAGGGGGCTAGCCTGCTGGTATTGCTGTGTGTTTGACCATCCCACACTCTTCTTCATATGTGCTGAGTGCTAAGCAGAGAAAGAATTGTGTACCATTTTTAAAGTCTTTGGTATGACCCGGCCGGGGTACAAAGCGAGCACTCTACCAATTGAGCTATTGCACAGATTTTACTTATAAGTTATATACAGATTTTGTAAATTTTGCTGGGCTGTAGGGCCCACTTACCCCCCTTGATATACACATGTAACATATTGGTAGTACTCACCGGTAAACCTGATAGATCTGAGTATTTTTTAGATGGTTTAAAGGAAGGAGGTCCATCTAAACTGCTGTCTGTAAATGAAAGAATGTTTATGAGTATTACAATTACCATCTGAAAAGGTCGATCAGCTCGAAAAATTTATGTCCCTTGCACGGGTCCACACAAACAAAAGGCTAGGGTCAGACGTTTTTTCTAGGATCAGTCAGAAAACAGGAAACACAACATTTTTTTCCTAGGCCTTATAAGCTCAGCATTCAGGCATCGCAAAAAAACAAAGGCATGACTTTAATTAAGTCTTACAGGTGGGGTCCTCTGGTTTCCATGGTAACGTTCTCTCCATCGCCAGGATCTGTTTCAAATTCTTCCACGTCTTCGTTTTCTTCCCAGCCGACACGCCCCCCTTCCCAGAATGCTGCAGGGACGAAAACATTTTAAAAATTGAAACATTTGACAGTTTTCTTAAAACGAATATTTGGCTGTGTAGAAGAAAACCCTTACAATGATACAAGGTTATGAAACAATGTGTTCAACTTCTAGCAACTAAATAAATGTTGTGAACTGTTGAACTTTCATGCTAAATTATACACATGAACTGTGCAAAGATAATAATTAAAACCTTAACATTACCACAAAATTTTGATCCTTGAAGACGAATTTCTTGACAGGTGAGGCTTCAGGTGCTGCCGCAGCTGTAGTCGGGTTCTGAGTGACCGCAGCTGCCTCAGGTGCTTCAGGTGCTGGTGCAGCAGCTGCTGACGGCTGTGGAATGCAGGTGATAATTAATCTAAACTGTTGCATCATATTGAGGTATTCAGTTATGTGTTTATGTTAATCCTTTTGTACCCACCCTTGCGACAGGGAAGCCGGCAGAAGAATGATCAAAGCCCGGATATGTATGCATGTATGTGTAAGTCAGTATGTTTATCTGGTGTTGCCGTAGCTGCAGTCGGGTTCTGACTGACTGCAGCTGCCTCAGGTGCTTCAGGTGCAGCAGCTGCTGACGGCTGTGGAGAGAAGAGGATGGTAGTAAGTGTGTAATGTGTACTGTAGTGTGTAATATGTATATGTGTAGCGTGTCATGAGGATGATTACAACTTTAAACAGCATGCGGCAGATACAGGTACTAGTTGTATAAATCATAGGTAACGGTAGCTGTTTTTCATCAGTGTTGCGTCGTTCGAATTCAGCACAGTTTGAACTTTCCCAAAACATATTGCTTTTCGAGACTTTTAAATTTACATAAACTCGCTAGAACAAACAAAGCACCAAGCAGAGATAGGCATCAAGACACCACGTCTGGCGGAAAAATAGACGTTAAGGCTAAAAGCAAGTAAAGTTACAGCTTACAGCAACAACAACAAAACCATATATTTTGAGGGGAGGGGGGCGGTCAGAATAATCGCAGAATAAGCGCCGAAATGTTGAAACCGCGCTTAAACTGTGCACAGATACGTAGATAATGCCTGTACCGTTCCCGGGCGGCGCCGTTTACCCCCGGCCGTGGCGGCAGCGGGGCTGTTAGGACGTTTGGTCGGCCGGCGGGACCGAGAATTCCCGACTGGAGACGCCATGACGGTTCACGTAACCTCTGACCTTCCGTGGGTCAGGCCATTCGAAAATTAGGGGTGGAAATAATTGTTACTCATTCGCAGTTTACCCAACAACTGACATTAGTCTCATAAATATAGGGATATCAAAATGTTCATTGTTATGTTATTTAAACTGAAAACTGTATTTTTGTGCTTTTAAGGTCAATGAATAAAGATAATTTGTATACCCCTTTGAAAAGTTGCAGAGCTCGATAACCTTTGACCAAAATTGCTGGTATGTGAAGTTCTAACGCAACAACATGCATGCATAAACCTGCGTCTAAATTAGTGCATATGTTATTCGGAGGTTAAACTTCTATGTCTACAATTGTCATATATATTGTATTATGATTTCCTGAGTTTTTATCATTGATGAACAGGGCTGTTGAGTAATTTGTACGGCTCTTTAGAGGAGGTGAGTACTACATGTATTGTATTTATTCTTGTGACGTACATTGTATGTGTAGATTTGTGTACTATGTGTACTCTGTCAGTAATACTACAAACGATCGATTTTATAGCAATTTGACCACCTTACTGGCACCTATACAAGCTTTCACTCAGTATATGTCTGACTGCATACGAGAGCAGTGTAAACGATGGTGAATACATACTAGTACATTTACAGGCTTGATTTTGCTCCCCCTTTATCAACCCCGGGCTGTACACTAAGTAAGCCTAGATGCTAATCAACCTTATAACAATGTTGCAATATTGCATTTTTTTTCTCTAAACCAGAAATTAAGAATCAAATGACATGTAAACGTTCTCAAGACACATATCCCTTTTCTGTCATCTTCCAATCATTGTCAAATGTGGTTTTCCTCTTTTCTTTGTGTTCTCTACAAAAGTGAAGTTGTTGCGTCCTTTGCGATGAGTCTTCTAGACCAACTCACGACGTTCTCCAAAACCTCGCTGCGCCGGACCGAAACTCACGTGAGAACTGTGGACGGGCGAGAGTACGTCGAGTCACGTGACGACCAGGGGCGGTCGAACTTGACCCCTGTAGGCGCTAAGGATTATGGGTGGATCGGTGACGTCAAACCTGACCTTCAGGTGGCAAAAATCCGCCCGGGTCTATTTTTGGGTAACTTAACTTTTTCTTTTTGATCGTCTTCAAAATTTGTTTTCAAAATCATGAACACCATGAGACGGTTATATTTGAGTCAGAGTTTTGGTCAATGACCTGGACCAGACGTCTGTCACCATGGTAACTGCTGTAGCAGACGCCCTGTGGTGTTCGGTTACATTGTGTTGCAAATTGCAGATTGAGGGTTGGTCATACATATGAATGTGTTTGGGTAAGAATAAACAGAGCAGTAGTTTGTTGGGCTAGACCATGTGAAGGTAAACATATAATGTACTAGTACTTGCTTTGCAAATTCATCTGTGTAGTTATGTTTACCGAAGGAAAACATATTGTTTTTGCTATGTTTCCTCTTCTTCTACCGTTCCAAACACTGACCTCTGACCTGGCCAATGACCTGATTTGTTGACATTTCTCACCATGGTAACTGGTGTTGGGTTACATAATGTTGCAATTTCATAGTAGGAGGGATTTATACTCCTGCCTGACCATATATATGAATGTATTTGAGTAAGAATTAACAGAGCAGACCATATGCGAAAGTAAACATTATGCATTTGCTTTAAAATGTTACCTTTCTAGTTATGTTTTTATTTGTTTGTTTACAGGATCTCAAGACGTGACGGTTCGTCCAGAGTTACTCCGATCGAACAACATAACCCACGTTCTAAACGTCGCGGCAGGCGTGGAAACAGAAACTTTTCCCGACGCTTTCACGTACAAACACGTTCCCATCCTAGACCTTCCCGAAACCAACATCACCGAGTATTTTCAGGACTGCTTCGCATTTATCAAGGCAGGTGCGACCTCAGGCGGAGTGTTCGTGCACTGCAACGCGGGTGTGTCCCGCGCCGTGTCCATAGTTGTTGGTTACTTGATGACGACTGAGAGTTTAGCATTTGAAGATGCTTACGGGCAAATTAAACAGATTAGGCCGAGTGCGAGACCTAATGACGGTTTTATGAAACAACTAAAGGAATACAAGCCATCGCAGTGACAAACTACAATTATTATGTTTACCGAAGGAAAACATATAGTTTTTGCTCAGTTTCGTCCTCTTCTTCTCCAAACAGTGACCTCTGACCTCACCAATGACATTATTTGTTGACGTCTGTCACCATGGTGACTGGTGTTGGGTTACATAATGTTGCAATTTCATGGTCTGCTCTGCTCCTGTCACCATATACTAGTAGTACATGTTAAATGTGTTTGAGTAAGAATTAACAGAGCAGACCATATCCGAAGGTTGATAATGCAATTGCTTTGCAAATGTTACTTTTCTAGTTTGAAAATAGTTTGGGAATTACAGACCGTATAATAAAAACGTAAAGAATTTAACTGGTACATTTAAATTTTTGCTAACTATATATATGCGTGTCTAAACATCATTATAAACTCATAATAGCAATCTAGGCTACGAGAAGTATGTAATAATGATAATAATCTTTATTGTACATTCATGCCCTATCGGGCTAAGTACAGGTAAACAGATGAAAAGGTAATATACATGTTTGTAGTACAAACAGCTCTAAAACTACACTAATACAGAAGTTCGGCTTCTTCTCGTTTCTGTGTGATGTTAAAAATATAATTTGAAATGGGTTTGTTAATAATACAATGGGCGAAGTATATACTACACTGGGAAACAACCAGTTGCCATTTGTTTACTTAGTAAACGCAGGCGTGAGGCTAGCGCTTGTGTCAACAACACACGTAGGTTCGTCCCTTGATAAGTAAGATATTACTACTCAAGGCTAAATTAGGGACGCAAAACTATCAATATACGCTTAAAAATATGGACTTATTTTTACACGCAGTGTAGTATAATAAAGAAAACTACTCTCCTCCAAGTCTCTTATAAGGTAAACGTGGAACATCTTTACTTTTTACTCCTTAAAAAAATTCTTCCTTTCAAATGTGTATTATGTGTTGATACGCGTAACAGATAAAAGTATGTTAATATACCGCATATTGAGATACACGTAGTCCAAATTCTCCCGTGCAGCTTTGTCAAACATAAACGTTACAGAAAAGAGCTCACATAAATTTTTACTATTTTATGTTGGTTCTACTTATTCCTTTATCATAATTCTATATTTAGTTTACTTAACGGTGCAAAATTACATAACTCATATTTAGACTCTCGTAAGTTTGTCTTTGATACAAGCGATAGGACGACACAAGGGATTCTGGGTAAATTAAGAGAGCCCAGTACTCAATGGACCTATACCATTATTACGTCACAGTTTGTTTATCTGTTCTGAAGAACATTCTAGAACGGTCAATTAAAGAATAAAGATCATTTCAAAAGTTTTCAAAGTCAGGTATGTTTGATTTTTGCTGCGTCTAGTTTTGTTGACACAGCATTACATGCCGCATGGGTGATTTAGTTGTGACATTAGATGAAAGTAGTACTGTATTAAAAGCCTTATATTAGGCTAACGCTACACAAACACACACTGCGCTACGCACCCCTGTACAATATAAACGTCGATTGACCGGCATTCATTGCGGTTAACAAACTGTGACGTAATACTGTGATAGGTCCATTCGCCTCCCATAAATCGACAATATGGCAGGGACTCGGGCAGTTTTATTACTTTTTCTCTTGTTGGGTTGTAAAGCGGACGACACGGACCCGGGGACTAGAGAGGACGAGTGGGACCCTGATACCATGCCGGGAACCAACTTTGATTTTACCGTGCACATCGCACCGCGGACTGAGGAGTGTTTTTATCAGTACGCACGTGTGGGAGCTAGGATGGCTATACAGTACCACGTGAGTAATTATAAAGGTCGTCCTTCTTTAATTTTTTTTCATATATTCCAATATTTCATTACTAGACATAGTAACGACACACTCAAGTTATATTAACTTTAAAACTTTATACCGCCACCAACACTTGAGGACAAATACTGCACAGGAAAATACTCATTTTCACTCATTAGTCTGAGCTTATTAGATCCTTGATTGTAGGTAACCGGTAGGGTCTGTCGTAGATACTTTTTTACGTAGATACTTGTCGTAGATAATTTTTTTAAAAAGATCAACCATAAAATGTTGAAATATGGCCATCGACGCACCGTCATAAAGTATATGTACGTATACGACTGAGGAGTGTTTTACCAGTTTGCACGTGTAGGAGCTCGGATGGCCATACAGTACCACGTAAGTAAAAGTCGCCCCGGTCGGCCTCGCTTGTCGCATGAACGTCGCACGACCGTCATACAAACGGAAGGCATCCTGGCGATCGTCGTGTATTTTTACGTGTCTTTCTAAGGAAAAAGACTGTTGTCTTGTTAGATCCTTGATTGTTTATCCCAAAGTTTTAGACATGAACCATAAAAAGTTGGAATATGGCCTTCGAATACTGTAAAGGGCCATGAAGTACAAAGTTTTGAGTAAGTTTGTTCATTTCCATCCACATTTTTAATCAATATTTTACACAATTGGTTGGAAAACATATGGCATAGTTTTATGAGTAGAGTAGCTTTGTTGGCACGACGATATATTTGTCTTGTTTTAAAGATTATATTTACCTTGTTTAATTTACGAGATAATTGTTCAAACAACGTCATTCCTACTGTATGCAAATAGAGCAGAACGTAGAGACCTAGACTAAAACTGCGGTATTATGTACGATTGTCCCCAAGATAATTACATATCTTATGTACAATTTTTGTCTTGTTTTGTGTGTTGTAAAATTGTGTAACTGTGATGTTTTTGGGATGGTATATTCCGTAATTCTCTTGCACATTATAGATTTAGTTTTTAGATTATAGATCCCTAGTTTTAGATATTTAGATAGAAAAGAAATATTCACATTCCTCATGTTTTTGGGATGGTATATTCCGTAATTCTCTTGCACATTATAGATTTAGTTTTTAGATTATAGATCCCTAGTTTTAGATATTTAGATAGAAAAGAAAAATTCACATTCCTCATGAAACTCGATAATCCTCGTACTTTAAACTCCATCTGTTCTTACATTTACTATAATTGTCTTAAGAAGCGAGAAGAAGCAGAACCTGTGCATATGTAGTTTTACTATAGATATATTTTAGTCTACCATCGCTATTTACCGTGGTCTGTACTTAGTTCGAAATGAGCAGAATTGTTCAACAAAGGTCTTTCATTCACTCATTCATTCATTATCCCAGGTTATCAACACCGGAATAGGTGTGGCCAGTAAGGACAGGACCATCACACTACGCGTGGTCGGGCCGAGGGGAAAACCTTTGAAAAGAGAATTCCTCAAGGAAGAGGGGGAAGATGATTACGTCATTGAAAAGGCTGGTGAGAATCAGAATCATTAAAAAATTTTTAAAGATTTTGCCAAAAGTAAAAAATTCACTTGTTTGTAATTGTGATAGTAAATTTTGTGTTGTGTAATTTTAACGGAAGTATACAATTCAGTATCCTTAGCGGCGTTGCCATGTACTTGAGATTTTTACGATGAATCAAGAAACAAATGTTATTTAATCTGCTCTCACATTGGTAATTTGATAAACCCAAAACGTTGGCTTTAAACTGCAGTTCTCTTGCCTCCCGCTAGGTGCGTACCAGATCTGTCTGTCTAACGGCCACAGCCGGTACATCAGTAAGATGGTTTATCTGTTCGTCAGCGTCTCCTACAAGGAAGATTGGGACCAGTACAGCCAGGTCCTGGCAGAGAATGTGGAGTCTATGCAGTCCCTTGGCAACTTAACTGTGAGTAGTACATTCAGTTCATTTCCTCGTATGTTATTTATTAACACTTTTTACGTTTACCGAAGGAAAACATATTTTGCTAAGTTTCCTCTTCTTCTTCTCCAAACCAAGAAGGTCAATGACCAGAACTAGACGTCTGTCGCCATAGTAACTAGTGTTGGGTTAACCTGAGTATCAGCCTTAAAAGCTTGTCCGCTCCCCAAGATCGATCCTCTTGGTGGGGAGCGGATCTTGGGGAGCGGACGAAAGCTAACAAGGCTGACACTCAGGCTAGTGTTGGGTTACATCATGTTGCAATTTTATAGCAGGAGGGGTTTAGACTCCTGTCACCATATATGTGAATGTGTTTGAGTTAGAATTAACAGAGCATATCTTTTGTTGCATGATTATTCGCTTTAGGCAATATACTAAGCAGTCTCTCTACACTAATGTTTTTGATCAAAGAAAAATATGTTATTGTACAGGTTCTGTTGTTGTAATTTTTCATTAATTATGATTATTCACAGCACACGATGGCCATGGTCCGTAACCGAGTTAACTACATGCTGAGTTTCCAGAACTACAACCGGTGGCATTTTGCTAAAGACTTCCGCATGGCAAAAATCAGCAACTTCTACGTGCAGTTCTGGTCTATTCTGCAGTGTGTCGTTATTATCGGGTGCGCATTCTTCCAAGTGAGTACATGAATACATGAATTCTTTCAAAAATAGCTAGAACCAGTCTACGATACAAAACAAGCAACCATTTTCCGTCGGCGACATTGCATTTTTTTTGCCTCACAGATATCATTATGCTATGGGATAGGATTGATTCAACATGAATACTACATATACATTAGACGGAATGTAAAGAATGACCAGAAAATTTACTTTGAAAAGCCGCATTGAAATTGTATTGGATGCCTTTCAACCATGTAATGATTAATTCTCTATCACCAGATTACTTCTCTAACATTTATCTTTGTTTATGGTTAACAAAAGAATTTTGCTCTCAGCTTTGGGAAGCGATAAAACACATATAAGTTGTTTACATTTGTATCAGGAGTGCACTTTTAAGATTAAAAAAAATCTTCCATGTTTTTTTTCGTTTCCAGGTGTACTTCGTAAAAAAGCTGTTTAACGTCAAGACTCTGACGCCAACCAACAAGCCGAGATGTTGACGTCAACGGTTTGATAACAATCTGGTAGATGCATTACACATAGGCCGAGTAGAGGTAGTAAACTTTAAGTCAACTTTAAGTCAACTTTGATCTTGATCTTGATACCGTACTGCGTAACACCCCTCAGCTGGGGTAAGACACGAAAACACTTCTGTTCTGTTCTGTTTTGAATTTCTTCCATCTTGTTGAAGTCGTCCTTCTATAAAACATAAAATACATTCACAGATATAACGCTTATAAATCTTCATAATGAACCAGATGGATCAAGTTATTTTGACGTTGTCTATTTGGCCTACGTCTACTGTTTCCAGCCGCTTCTGACGCGTACGCCTGGGAGAGCCTAGAAGTTTGCCAACTTGGTGTTTGCATACCATACCATACCACGTGCGTCTCTCTCCACGTAGTACATATACTAGCATTGTTGGGCGACGCCTCCATAGAGTAAATGTTGACATAAGCAGTACTTATTTTATTGTGAGCTGTTACGTTTGTTTTGTTGTTATCAGTACGTATCACCTGTTGTTTTCTCACGGATAAAAAGCCACCAGTCACTTAACAATATCTAGAGTGATATCTGCAAACACAAAGAAGCAAATTAGTATTGCAAGCTGTCAGGACGACCGCTGTAGTAATTCTGTTCACAGACCAACTTAAGTAATAACCGAGACAATAATTCAAAAGGGCTGCAAAAAGGCTGTATGCTGATTATACATATAACGTTATGTCACGAATTATAACAAGATTGTTAAAACTAAATATCTAGAGTGATATCTGCAAACAAAAGAGGCAAATTAGTATTACAAGTTGGCCGGACGACGTATATCGCTGTAGAAATTTGTTCACAGACTAATTTTATAACTGAGACGATGCTTCAAAATGTCTGCAAAAAGGCTGTATGCTTTATACTGTATACATGTAACGTTGTGTCATGAATTTTAACAAGATTGTGAAAACTAAATATCTAGAATGGTGGCATGCAAACACAAAGAGTCAAATTAGTATTGCAAGTTATCAGGACGACGTATACCGCTGTAGAAATTTGTTCACAGACTAATTTTATAACTCCGACAGTGCTTCAAAATCATTGAAAAAAGGCTGTACGCTGATTATATGTCTAATTTGAACAAGATTGTCAAAACTAAATTCCCCTTTCCGGTTCTGAACAAACGACAGAAAATCAAATAAAGAGAGCGATAGTAAGACAATTTTGCTTCTCATTTATTGGTGTTCTTTCTTTTGAAGCGACTTTATACTATCCGTTGATAAAACTCATTGTTTATAGAGGTTTCTACGAAGACTTTGACTGCCCTGGATTTTTCTCCCCTAAATTCTAACTCCCTAGAGGTCAATGTTTCCTTAACACAATACGTAGCCTCTCTCTAATACGTGCCTCGTATAATCTACCAGTAACGTAGTGTCTCCCACTACTAGTGGCACTAGCCTCTACAGCATGCCAAAAAACTGGGGGGTTTGGGGGGTCTTCGTGGTCTTTGGGAGCTTTTATGTGCTATTTTCTGATTGCATATAGACAACATAGCCGACCTGGTTGAATTACCCCCGTTTTTAGAACTGGCCGGGCTGATCAGAAAACAGCCGGCCGAAGACCATCAAACCCCCAGTTCTATAAGCCTGCTACGGAGGCTAGTCTCCCACGGTAATATAATGCATGACCCGCAACGCAAACATTATTAAGTACCGCAACAGTTGTGAAGTACCGGGTAATACGTGTACAACACCCACACCACACTCTTCACCTTAACACACAACGTTGGGGCGATCATACCAGACGCAAAAATGAACATATTTCTGCAGTTTCTCGCCGTTTCGCACGTTTTAGCGTGTGCAGGAGTTTCGGGACTTGAACACGCGGATGAATGGGACCCGGACAACGTGCCGGGAACCACGTTTGATTTTTCCATCCTGGTGAAACCGCGGACTGAGGAGTGTTTCTTCCAATACGCGAGGGTGGGCGCCAAGATGTACGTGGAGTTCAGGGTATGTAACGTTACGTAACTGTCGTTATAAATACCGTTAGCTTTCCCGCTATAGGTACAGTATATCCCATGGAGGTAGAAAATATGATTTTTTTATACCTCAATACCCCTGCTGTAGTGCCCAAGGGCTACGAAGTGGAGATGGGCACCACCCTACGCTCGGTATAAGAGCACGGGAGACCTTCTTCTTCTTCTTCAATACATGAATTTGAAATGCCCCGTGATTATGTTTACCGAAGGAAAACATATTGTTCTTGCCCCGTTTTCTCTTCTTCTTCTCCAAACCCAGGAGGTCAATGACCTGAACCAGACTGTCTGTCACCATGGTAACTGGTGTTGTGTTACATCATGTTGCAATTTTATAGCAGGGGTGATATGAATGTGCAGACCATATGTGAAGGTAAACATTTTCTGGTTATATCTTCTCTCTCTCTCTCTCTATATATATATATATATATATACAGGTAGTGAAGGGAGGCCTGGCTGATGAGCGTTTCATCAACTTCATGATCCACCGCCCCGGACCCGCACCCCCGCTGGCCAGGAAGTTTGTAACGGAAGCGTACTCAGACACGTATGATATTGAGAAAAAAGGTACATGTAACAGTGTGGTTCAAGCGCCACTAAGTATCAAATTGGCCAGGCAGTATCCATTTGCCAGAAAATTGCCATTTTTGGGTGGCAAAATGGTACTGCCTACTACTGGTAACTGGCCAATTTGATACTGTCCTTGCGGCCACAAAATCTTTCTTTACTCTTTATTTCAGGCATCACTCGCCCATAAAAAGGAAAACAGACAGATACAAATACACATAATAACAATAGTTAAAATTATGTCTATCTAAGTACAGATGAAATCAGATACCGCACAGCAATGGGTTGTGGAATATTACATCAGATTTAAGAATAGATTGGACAATGTTACATGTATTTGAGTTGCACAGACAGGATTTAAAAGAATAGCATTGTTTGCACCATGTTTGCCCATTTCACTGGCACTGCAAAATCTAGCCTGGTATCCAGTCTTGAGGGGTATTGGGGTGTTCGGGCAGGTTGTGCCTTCGGGGGCTCTAATAGCTGCCCCCGCCCAGTGCAACAGGCTGTCCCGGTAGGAGTGTTACGCTAATAAGAGACAGTATGCTTGGGGATTTGGTTCCCCCAACACGATAGGGGAATGACATTATCTGCTTTGACATTAACCTAACTATAACCTAACTTTCTATCCAGGAGTGTACCAGATCTGTCTGTCCAACCCCCACACCAAGTTCTACACCAAGTTGGTGTACCTGTTCGTGTCTGTGTACTACAAGGACGAGTGGGAGAAATTCGCAAAGGATGAGTTCGAGTACGTCGTGTCAGTCAGAAATGTCACGGTACGTGTTCCATGATGAATATTACACAAAAGCAAATATGTGAAAGCTACATCATGCTTCTAGCAGCCCTTTTACTCTGATCAGGCTTCTAGCTGGCCTTCAAGTCAGGCTCCTACTGTACGTGTTAGTTCTAAGAAGCTTTATGAACACCTCGAAGTCCGGAGAATTGGGATATCTTAATCCTGTTGACTTAATTGCATAATGCCATGATTTATGTATACACACAAAGGCAAATTGATTTGAGATAGCAACATCGCACTTCTAGCAGCACTTCAACTGGTCAGGCTCCTAGAAGCTTGATGGCTAACATTTGGAATTTGGAACATCTTAATTCTTTTGATTGATACATATGTGCTAACATAGACCAACTATTGTAAGACTGAGAACTGTCTGGTAACAAATACAGTGTTTCAAGGCTTTGATAACCGTTTTCCAAAGTCAGACAGAGAAGCTTGTGAGCTCCTATTGGTAGTTCTTGAGTGGTTGAATTGTTCTCTTTAGTTAGAGGTAAGAGGGAGCAGACCCAATCAGTCTGGCAGCAAGAGATAGTGTAACACAGGCTAACTGTTGAGGCATAAACAGCAGCACAATATTATCATCATTTCTACATGCAGTTGTAGGATATCACAATACAATATGTGCTTTAGGCCACACCAATTTAATTTCTTGGTTAACGGATTTTTCTACAAAACTAATGGAGCGGGCGGGCGAAAAATAAATAAAAATAAAAACAGGCCTAGGCTTCCTATTATGGCCCAAAATGGTACGATAGGAGCCATGAAGTCAACACACCAGGCTGGTTCAAAATCTAAACAATGAATTTTGAACTTTTAATGATACCATTGCATTGAAAGATGGAATAACTG